AAATAATTGTCCAATAAAAATGCGAGTATAAAATAACTAATACTAATAAAATATATATAAAAATCTATATTATAACAATATTCTTATTATATTTAAGTATATGATTTTTCAAAGATATTGATCTTTTCTATAATATTTTTTAAGTTTTCTAAAGATTTTTATATTATATTATAGAGAGGATAACTAAGTTATTTAATAAGATATTGAAGTTTATAATAATAAATTCTTTTGTCAAGAATATTTTTTATTTCATATTCTTCTTTATTATTTGATATGAGAATTGCTAGTGATAATTAATATCTATTATATTCATCATTTAGATTATACTTTTTTAAAAGTGATATATAAAATACTAGATATAATTTCATATTCTATGATAATTATAATTTATAAGTGACAAAAAATATTTTGATAATTTTAAAGAGATCTATAAATTTTAGTATAAGTTTTTTAATTATTCTTTATTTATTAACTGAAGATTTTATGTTATGGATAAAGAAAAGAATTTTATCTTTAAAATTAAATTATTTATTTACTGTATTAATTAGCGTATTTTATCTATCTTTTTTGTACTTCTAGTAATAAATCTTTAATAATTCTGATCATAATATTCTAATATTTCATAAAGTCATGAGAGATTGTAATATTATTCTGGAATAATAAAATATTAATTAATATATAAGATATTTATTTACAATCTAACTCAAAAGATATGTAATTGATTGAAGTATTTTTACTATTATTATAAGTGAATTCTATAACTATTAAGTTTTTATTCTGTTTTATTGATAGATAATATATATTCTTAATATTTTTTTCAAGATTCTATTTAATTTCTCTGTCTAACTATCTGTTTAAAGATAAAATATAATTGATATTGCTAGTTTTATTTCAAGTAATTTAAAAAGTAATTTTCAAAAATAATTTATAAATTTAGTATCTCTATCTGATATTATAATTATAAATAAGTTATATAATTTAAAAATATTTTTAAAGAATATCTTTGCAATATTAGGTACTATTATTATTATTATAGTTAGTATAAAATATATTTTTTTTGATAATTTATCTATAAATATAACTATTACATCATATTCAAACTTAATGCTTAAGAGTTAAATTATAAAATTCATGATAATATATTCTCATCTTTATTCTGGAATAGTAAATAATTAAAGTAATTCTAAGAGCTATTAATTATTAGATTTATTATATTAATATGATTCACAACTAATAATATATTTATAAATATTTTTGACTAATAATACTGTTAAGAAACTATTATATATATCTTGTTAATTTTAATATATCCTGCTATTAATGTATTATGAAATTCAAATAGTATTTTTGCTTTCAAGATCTTGTTATCTGAAATAGCTAGATAATTAATATTTCTCAAGTAAAATAATTTTTCTTTTAACTTAAAGTTTTTAACTTTAGTTTGTTACTTTAGATTAGTACTATTAAAGTTTTTTAAGACTTCATAAATTTCTGCAAAGTATTTATCTTTCTGATACTTCTTTATCAAGTTTTTCTTATTAATAAGATTAGTAATAATTACTATTATATAGAACAAACTATAATAAAATCAGATAAAATAAATATTTTATAAATAAGAGACTGATTATAATATAACTGTAAAATTAACTAATATAACTGATAACTTTTTGAAAAGTAATAATTATACTTATTTATAACTTATAAACTTGTTAATTTTAATATTCACTTTATCATACCAGAATGTAATAAATATAAATTATAATAGAATTAATATAGAATTATCTCTATATAAAAAATATATATAAAATTAATTTACATTAAATTCATTATGAAACTCAAGAATTATAATATTATTAGAAGTATTTTAAAAAAAGTTCAAGAGAAAATTATTTCATATTTTTTTTAAAATTAATAATACTTAAACTCTTCAAGAATATCTGGATAAAAAAAGATCATATATGAAATTTAAATTACTTCTTTAATTTTAATCAAGATCATATTTTAGTTTTTTTAACTTCAATTTGAATAATTTGACCATTCTATTACTTTTTTAAGTCTAATTTTCTTTTTTTAACTTAGTAACTTTAGCTTTTAATTCTTTAATTCTCTTTATTTTCTCATCATCTTACTTTTTTAACTTTTCATAAAATTTAGTAACTTTTTCTCTTTTAATATTTAATTTCTTTTTAGTAATTATTAACTCTTTTTTTAGTTTATTAGTTCTCTTTTTTAAATGAGAACTGAAAGATCAAGAAATTAATTTACTTTTAATAAGAAATTAAATTTGCTTCTTTTTTTCTTTATAATAACAAAAACTCTTGTTTTTCATTAATCTATTATATTTCTTACATCTTAAGAGAGTACCATTATTATATTCAATTTTACAGTCTTTACAAATAAAGAATATATCAAAGTATTATTCTGTCTTGATATGTATTATTATCTAATAAATAACAGAAACAGTGCTAAAATTAAAATTAATTTGATTATTATAGTTTATAAAATAATAACTGCATTCTTACTCATCCTCTTTTATTAATTCCAAAACTTTATATTCTAAACTTATACTAATTTATTTATTTCTTTAAATAATGTAAGTTTGAAACTTCTTCTTACTTTTTTTCTTAACTCTATTTACTAATTATTTAAGTTTTAATAATCTGTTTTACTTTTTAGACAGGGCTGGCAATTCTTTTTTCTCATATTCTTTGATAACTTATTTTTTATTTCTTAATCAATTAATGTTATTTTCTAAAACTTTTATTCTTTTCAAAAATCACTTCTCTCTCAAAATATGAATTGATTTTACTTCTTTCATTTGGTATTCTCTTCACTTCATAATTGTATTCAATGCTTTCTTAGCTTCTTCTACTTTTTTTTTCTAATTCTTTTATCTTTGCTTTCAATTCTTTAATTCTTTCATCCTTATCTCTGATCTATCAAAGATTTCATCTTTTTCTTTTATTCAAGAAACAATATGAATTCTTTCATTTTATTTCTTTCAATCTTTTAACAAGTCAGTAGCTAACTTAGTGCTTTCAAAATGATCTATTACAATTCTCTCTACAACTTCTTCCAAATTCTTCTTTTCTTTCCAATTATAGTCATGTATAAGACTGTGTTGAAAACAAATATTTATAAATTATTTTCTTAATGATTTGCTAATTAATTCTCTTAAATCTTGTTCAATGTTTTTGCTACAGTAAGAGAATCTATTTCTCATCTCTACCAACATTTGGTGAATTCTTTCAGTTGCTTTTTGTTTAAATTCAGCTTCTTGCTCATTTACTTCTGTATTTTTATAATCATTGAGTTCTCTACTTTTATCTGCTAATTGTTGTTTTAATAATTCTATTTCGTTTAATAATTCTTTATTTTCTTGTTGTTGTTTTTCTATAATATTTACCATGATTTTTTATTTATTTATTTTTAATATACTTATAAGGCTAAATTAAGTATATAATTATTTTAATATTCCTTTTATTTAAACTTTAAAAGTTGTAAAGTGGGAATATTAGATAGAGAATTTAATGTGGTGAGGAAATTAATGAATTTTAGTCTAAATATTTTATTCGTTGCCGGTATAGGTTGGGCTTGGGCAAGTAATGTCTTTGAATTCATCTCTAACAAACGGACGAATATGATGATAAAGATATTCTTGCCTTTTGTAATCCAAAGGAAGAGGGGTTAGGACTAAAATAGAAAAAGATTTAATTTCCTTGGTAATTTTGGAAACACTTGCCTTTCTAGTTTTTAACAAATTAAATTCAGTATACGAACCATTAGCAACCAGCTGAGCTTTGACAATACCAGGATTGGCTGCTTCGAATACAAAATGTTGATATTTTTGTAAACCACTCAATTTTTTAAAGAAAATTCCTAACACCGAATTAAGATCTAAATTTGCCGCTTTCATAGCACTGAGCTTTGTTTAATCCTGTTGTACTTGATTTTTTCACAATCTCGACAATATGATCCACACAATCTACAGTCGTTTTGCGGTATAGTTTCTTAATTAATCCAAAACTACCATCACACTTGAATTTAGTATGACCAGGTACCATAAAATTTAATTCGATACTTTCATAATAACCGCAAATTACTAAATATAAGTAAAATCAAATAGTGGCATTATTTTTGTTCTGCCCACCCGCATTATCACAAGTAATTTTTAAATGTTTTTCGCCTTTATTCAATTTCTTAATTCCATCGAATACCAGGCTCAGCGTGCCATTAGGGCCTTTGCCGATAATTTCGTCTTCATCGAGAACGTAATTAATTTGTTCGCGTACTGCTTCATCTTGAATACCAAATAAATGTACTTTACACGGACTGAGATAGTAAATCTTACTTACCTGTTGATCGGAATGGGGCACGTGAACGTTTTGTGCCCAATCGTAACTATAATGAGCAGTCACGTCAATGCTACAATAATCAGCTTTGCCTCTCGTCGTAAAATGCTCATTTACCAATTTTCTCTGTTGTTCTGCTAATTTCGTATTCCTGTTGTAATAGTTTCTCTCTAACTTAGCTTTAACTAAATGTTCTTTGTACTTTTTTAGTAAGTCTCTTGCTTCTTCTTCCTTGTGAGCATTGTATTGTAAGCCGTTCCGAAAATGTTGGCACGTGTCGCATAAATCCGTTCGTGTGCTCATAATTTGAATATAAGGCGTTAATTGGTGTCATAACTTGCGGAATGCGTCATATTTTAACAATTTCAACGTGCTATCATTTTCGAGACCTGCAATAAAATCACGATAGACTGACTTGTAACTCGTTTCAGCTGACGTTTCTACCAGGACTTGGTAATCCATTGATTTCAGCATAGTTTTCGAGAAAATTCTTCACGGCGGTAGCAACGGTTATATCAATGGTTACTTTAGTTTTTCATCGCGGCATTCGTTTGATATTACCATGAACACGCGGTATTATACCATTCGTTGCCAGATGGTTTCTGACGTTTTCGAAGTGAGTGCGACCGATTCCTAACATATTAAGATACGTTTTCTGACAAAGTGGCGTATTGCGATCTCAATAATAAAAAGTTCTTTTATTAGCACGCAGTTATTTCTCCACCATTCATTGCTTTTAGCTGAGCCATTAAAAATATATCTTGTTCGGATCTAGAGGGAGCTTGAAACGCCTCGCGTAACTCGGCAAACTTTTCTCTCGGAATCTTTTTTGAGCAACCACAATTGCAACCTATCTCCAGGAAACGTATTGCTTTTTCATATTCAGTGGAGCCATCATATTCGTTATTTATCATATACGGGTAATCCTATATATAAATTTTATTAGTGGACACTAGATTAGCTATAATAATAAGTTACCAGATTTCAATAACCGAGGCTGCAATTAAGGAATCACAATAATATCAAACTTTATTAAAAATGCAGAATATCATATAGGTTTTTATCTACCCACAATTTAAATCTAATGATAGTATTTACTACATCAAAAGTGCTAATACAAGAATATTTAGGAGAAAATGATATTCTTCAACCGTTCAAGCCATACTTCATCATGTTTTTTCTGCAAAACTTTCCCATCTTCAGCACCAGCTGGCCAGTCAATATTCTCATGATTCATAAATAATGGATAGCAATCTTTTTCTGCAACCCCAGTCCAATCGAAATCTACAAGCATTGCCCGTCTTAGTTGATCCTTCTCATATACCAATACGTTATTTGGGCGGAGATCTGCAAATACCAGGTTGTTATGATTTAATAGAGAGATAGCTTGCTGTATATCTTGAAACACCTGATCTTGATCTTTTTTCAAATTAAACGTAGTTTCATGCAATGGCTTTGCCTCTTTAATGTTCTCCATGATGACCATTGTCCAACCCGGTATCATCTTCCTATCCACACAAAATAACTGGGGTGCTAAACCTTCAGAGGCACACAACTTATGTGCATCATCACAGTAATTTTTTGTAAATTTAACAATTATATCGATGTTCATATCTGAAATTGTTGCTGTGCACATTGATTTAGAGCTTGACATCCAAGATTCATAAGTAAATTCTACTTTCTTATCATCTATTATAAGCAAATTTGGATATGGAAAAAGATTCTGGTAATCACAAGGATGTTTTGCACTCCAAGCAGATTCAACAGTTTTGTCAGTATGGTAAAAGTGCTTCAAGTCTGTAATTGCAAGTTTCCATGCTTGAAATAGTCTAGCAATATGGTCCAACTCATTAGGATGCTTTGTTGGTAATAGTGGAACAAAATCTGTCAATGGATCCACAATAAGGTGATCTGTGAAAATGCTTGCAGCAATACACAACCAAGGTCCAGCTAAACACATAATAAGTGTTGGACAGTTACAGGCTTTTCGGAAGGATTTATACTATATATGATTGAACAAACAAATTTTAAATTAATATTTGTACATATTTTTACTTATTCAAACATGTAGGCTTACCTTATTCTGTTTCCAGAAATTTAAAACCGAAAATGAAGCTTGCAAAAAAGGGTCAGATCCCTCTTCTCCTATTTCATTCTTAACTTCACGTAGAGCAACCAAATATCTATCATTTTCTAATAGGACACCATCATTACTTGATCCATCATCAACTGTGATTGATATGAAGTTCAAGTCGAGTGCATCAATGAGGAATTCATCAAATACTTGTTGCCGTTGTTTTTCAGATTGGTAGGTTTGTGCCATAATGTCTATAAAATTATGCACTTTGCCACATAGATCTCTTGACACTTCAAGGTTCTCATTGTTGTAGTTTTTAATAAACTTTCCAAAGACTGGGTGGAAGAAAAGCACTGGTTGACCAACAAACTCAGCAGGCCGATGGCAGTATATCTCCGTTTTTTTTTGCACCTTTGATAGGTTCTGTGATCGCGCAGCTGATGACGGTGGGAGTATAGACTTTACTGCTTCCATGATATCTTCTTGAGTTTTAAGCATCTTAGAAGGTCTAAGTGATTCTGTTTCCAATTTCTCTCCTAATCGTAGAGGGCAAAAGGAAGAATATCATGCTCATGTGTCTTCACTATAAATGTATAAATAGAAAGAATTGCTAGTTTCAATATTTTGTGAACGTAACCTACCTTCAAGTTCACGTTTCTCGGGCGGAATGACTGCGGCAAGAAAAACTAGTCAGATTAATTCTAGCTACAGCAGCATTATCTCAATGAAGTCATATGAAGAAAAAACGTCTACTCTACCTAAGTACACACTTCTCTATGTCCCCAACGCCCGAGTCACAAAGTCATTACCTGGGTGAGCTTCCTGTCCCCTCTTCAGCATCTCCTCGTTCCACTTCGTCCACACCTCTCTACAATCCTTCACGGCCTCTCTACACTCCTTCACGTTGTTTTTCAGATCTGCCTCGTCGTCCGCCAGCCTCTTCAGCGTAGCCTTCTCCTTTGCATTGAGATCCTCCCGCTCCTCCTTGTCCCTCAACTCGTCCAGCTTTACTCCCCGATACTTCGACTCCTGAAAACTCTTCAACGCCGCGTTCGCCTCATTCAACGCTGCGTTCGCCTTGTCTAGTTCATTCTTCGCATCCTTCAGTTGTTGCTGATAATATTCAAGTGTAGCCATGGTAGAGCGGTAAATTTTTTCGTGTGTCGTTTCGGTGAATTGCGTGGAAGTTGTTTATGTGCTGCGCAATGTGAAATCAATGACGTATTATTATTATTGGGAACGTTCTAGACCTTTTTACAATGTAATTATTGTTCCCCTGCAGAAATTCGCGTTTGTCTAATGATCATCCGCAGTATATGATGAACAAACGGATATTTTATTATAAAAACAGCGCTGGTTAACTTACTTCAGAAATCAACCACAACGTAATAAATATCGTTTAAAGTAATAAAACAAATCTGTCAACTTCCACCAATAACATCTACAAAAATGCTTACGCCCACAAGCGAATTTCTTTTTGGAGTATTTATTGGCTTCGTTCTCGGCCTGTTGCTAAATGGCTTACGTGTTCGAGTAATTGGGGGTGACCAAAGAATAGGTTATACTTATCAATGGCTTTGGGTCTGAGTATTTTCCTCTCATGCAATCACTCTGGTGTTTTTATTATTATTTATATTTTCAAAAGTGATCGCATGCTATAATAAAGATATTAAAATTGTGCTTACAAAATTGAGTAATTTTTACTCTTGGTTGCAATTGTGTCAAAGTAGCGAAATATGATCAATACTCAATGAATGCACTTGAGCAGTCTTTATCAAGAGAGATGAATTTTCATTGACAGATTGATTAGTAAAAGCATTGGTAGGAAGCTTTTACATTAAATTTATTTCTCTTACATTTCTTTAAGTTTTCATTTCTTTCTTGATTTATCATATATTGATGTTAATACTCATTTATTAGTTATGATTTTCCTTTCCTCTTGATAAATTTCATAAGTGATTTTTTCTTGAACTAGATATTTTTGAAAAGTTTGGGTATTGTTGATTTTGAAAATATATAAAGTAATTTTCTCTCCTTGAACTTTTTTTAAAATACTTCTAATAGTGCTATAATTCTTTAGTTTCATAATGGATTTAATGTAAATATTATATTTTTTATATAGAGATAATCCTATATATATTAATCCTATTATGATTTATATTCATCACATTCTGATATAATAAAGTAAATATTAAAATTAACAAGTCTATAAATTATGAATGAGCATCATTATTACTTCAGTACTTTTCAAAATATCATTAGTCACACTGATCAATTTTACAGTCACATCATAATCAGTCTCTTATTTATAGAATATTTACTTTATCTGATTTTGTTACAGTCTGTCTTATATTAGCTAAATATGATTAACATGAAAGTACATCTGCTATTATATTATTTTTATCAGATTTATATTTTACTTTAAAGTTACTAATTTGTAAAATTTCTAACTAGTAAGCCTATCTCTTAGAAAGATTATGTTAAGTTTTTATATATTTCAAGAAGATATAATCTGTAATTATTATAAGCTTTTGTTCTTCAAGATATGATTTTCAAAATCTAATAGTATAAATAATTATAAATAATTCTTTTTTATAAATCAGATAGTTTTGTTTTACAGATAAAAGTTTTCTTGACTTAAAGACTATTAGTTAATTACTCTTATCTTGATTTTGACTTAATATAGCTTCTATAATAAAGTCTGAAGTATTTATTATAATTATAAATAATAATTTAAAATCAGATAATAACAAGATTAGTATTGATATAAGATATTATTTTAAAGTATTAAATACTTTTTACACTATGATAAATTATTCATAATCTTTATTTTTATATAAAAATACTATGAGAAGTGATACTATTACTAAAAATTTCTTTATAAACTTTCTATAATAACTTACTAGTTCAAGAAATGAGTAAAATTCTAATGTAATAAAATTAGATTAGTTATTAATAATTATATTATATTTATCTTTTATCTTACAGATCATTACTGCACCACATACTGTATCATATGTAACTTACTATATCATAATTATCTGATTATGCCAAGAAAAGTTACCTGATTTATTTAAGTTATTTTAGCTATAGATAGTTTTTTAGTAGAATTTCTCTTTTCTCTTGTTTTATTAATTTAGCTAGCATATTACTAAATTTATATATTTCATTTATAATTATTTATTTCTTTATTTATTTATTAATAA